ACATGGACACGTACGGACAAACGTTGTTGCCGTCAATTTATTCTGCTTACTTAAGCTTCTTATCCTTTCCACTGATATCGTACCGTACTGTGTCGAGCCCGCTCGTTCGCGACAGCCTTACGGGGCAGGCGCAGAGCTGTTCCGCCAGACATTCCTCAAGCATCGGAGTTGAGCGTCTACGAGCCCCGCCCGATTCTCCCCGATTGGACGGCCCGCAACTCCACCCTCATTGGAGGGAGTGCCAACTTAGTCGGCGCACCGTGGGTGCGCCAGGCGACGTTGTGCTGCCGTCCTCGGGGTTCCCCGATGCAACCTAGTCGGTGCGGCACCTTGTGTTGCACCAGACGAAGTTGTATGCCCTCGCGCGGTTTCTTGTTAACAGAAGTCCGTTCATATCGTTTACTGCTCTTCGCACTGACTGATTCTGTTGATCAGCTTCACCTTGACGTTGTCATTTCGATTTCAGCACGCAGCTCGTATTTGAGCGCTATAAGTCGCTTGCTAGGCCGGAATTCCTTTATCCAACTCGAGTGGCGCGGATACCTGGTATCGTACGCTGCCGCTCAGTTAGCCTCACCCACGCGTCGAGCTGGCTCGTTCGCGACAGCCTTACGGGCAGGCGCGGAGCAGCTCCACGAAAAAACTCTTGAAGCATGAGTGCTCACGTTTCCAGTGTGGGTCTTTGGAACTGCGCATAACATCGGGTATCGTGAAGATCGATGGCCGTCCGCGTGGCTTCCCAAGAGTACATCTCTGCCTGGCCTTCCCCGAGTGTAACTCACTCGGCGCGGGTCTCAATGGCATCCCATACTTCCAATAAACTCTCTAACAGATCTATGCGACTATAGCTATCTCTATGTTTGCAGGCGCTACCCACATTCGCCGTGAACCGGTCACCTTCGCGGACATCCGACCCTCCCCGAGTATAGATCACTCGGCGCAGGTCTCAAACACCGCCCTTGGTCCCAAAATCATCTCATTCCTCTTCTACGACCCCATTGCCACCCCGTGCTCGCCGGCGCTGCCTACTTTGACCTCAGACCGTTGACCTTCGCGGTCATCCGACTCTGACCCTACCCGAGCGTAAATCACTCGGCGCGGGTCTCAACCGGTTGTCCAGCTTTGAAACATACCCTCTTTCTTGACCTAGCGCACGAGAGATTGCTCCAGGTATTTTTTTTTTTCCTGACCGGATTTTCGCCCTTTTTGACTATACTCCGTCACAGCTCTATTGACTTGGATCAGCGCGGCTCACGGCTCCCGCGGATGGTGTCCAACACCCATCTTGTAGGTCATCTAAAGCTCTTCCTCCTCGCAAACCCAGCTGATCGTCGTATAGGTCACTTTGTCCTAATTTCCGGCATTTCATCAAGTCCGCGCCGCGCGGCAGTAAATTAATGATCAACTCCTACCACGGCTGAAGCGCTCTGTGCTCGCCAACGCTACCCACATTCGGTGACCCTCCCGGATATTGGACCCTCCCCGAGTGTAACTCACTCGGCGCCGGTCCCAATCGCCGCCTTGGGCCCCAAATCCATCTCACTACTAGCCCATTGCTACCGCCTACGCTGCCTACTTGGACTTCAGACCGGCGACCTTCGCGGTCATCCCACTCTGACCGCGTAAATCACTCGGCGTGGATCTCAGCCGAGTGCCGAGTCTTGAAATCCACTACATTACGGTCCTTCTTGTCTCAGCGTACGAGAGATGGCCCCAGGTAACTTATTTTTTCATGACCGGATTGGCACCTCTTTTGACTTCGCAGCTCCACCGACTCTAATCAGCGCCGCTCACGGCTCTCGCGGGTGGTGTCCGACACCCATCTTGTGCTTTTGGTCAGTCATCTGAAGCCGTACCCCTTGCAAACCAAGCTGATCGTCGGATAGGCGACTTTGTCGCAATTTCCGCTATTTTACCAAGTCCGCGCCGCACGGTTGTCAATTGGGGACGGATTCTTTTTAAACAAACCTGCAGTACACTGTGCTTGCCCCCACATTGTCCGCGAATTGGTATAGCGAGAGTGGATGGTGTCGGCGTCGACGAAACCCAACTTTGGGGTTAAGTTCCCAATCGGGAAGTCGCTTCGGTTGAGCACGCACAAATCCCCTGCGGCTGCTCCAGCGCGCCAGTCACCTGTGCCAAAAGCGCCTCCTGCTCCTGCCTTGAAAGCGATGATAGACTCCCCAGAGTTGCGCTCCTCCTGTTGCAAGAGTCATAGCATGCATGGGCGTCCATACCAGGACATATCCTGGAATCCCCCAAGCTCAAATCTAAGACGATTGAGAGTGATTTGCGCGCCGCTCCGTTTCGGCAAAAAGAAGCGAAACCTTCATCGGCCAGTACCCCGACTGGGATTCGAACCCACTGGCGCCGGAGCACTAGGACGTCCCGACCATTTACCGCGAAGCGGCAGGCGCGGAGGCGCGAGGCCCGCACCATTTACCGCGAAGCGGCAGGGTCGGCCCGGTCCCCACTGCGTACCGCGAAGCGGCAGGTGCTGAGCGCGGAGGCGCGATGGTCTTGCCATGTACCGCGGAGCGGCAGGTTCCGCACAACAACCGTGCCATCTACCCGTCCGTCCGCACGTCGCGCTTGCCGGCCATGTCATTATCCGCCCTTGCAAAGTAACGGCGGATAAGCCGCTTTGACCGTCATCGCCACCGCACCGGACACGTATACAATTTATTCTGCTTACTTAAGCTTCTTATCCTTTCCACTGATATCGTACCGTACTGTGTCGAGCCCGCTCGTTCGCGACAGCCTTACGGGGCAGGCGCAGAGCTGTTCCGCCAGACATTCCTCAAGCATCGGAGTTGAGCGTCTACGAGCCCCGCCCGATTCTCCCCGATTGGACGGCCCGCAACTCCACCCTCATTGGAGGGAGTGCCAACTTATAGTCGGCGCACCGTGGGTGCGCCAGGCGACGTTGTGCTGCCGTCCTCGGGGTTCCCCGATACAACCTAGTCGGTGCGGCACCTTGTGTTGCACCAGACGAAGTTGTATGCCCTCGCGCGGTTTCTTGTTAACAGAAGTCCGTTCATATCGTTTACTGCTCTTCGCACTGACTGATTCTGTTGATCAGCTTCACCTTGACGTTGTCATTTCGATTTCAGCACGCAGCTCGTATTTGAGCGCTATAAGTCGCTTGCTAGGCCGGAATTCCTTTATCCAACTCGAGTGGCGCGGATACCTGGTATCGTACGCTGCCGCTCAGTTAGCCTCACCCACGCGTCGAGCTGGCTCGTTCGCGACAGCCTTACGGGCAGGCGCGGAGCAGCTCCACGAAAAAATTCTTGAAGCATGAGTGCTCACGTTTCCAGTGTGGGTCTCTGGAACTGCGCATAACATCGGGTATCGTGAAGATCGATGGCCGTCCGCGTGGCTTCCCAAGAGTACATCTCTGCCTGGCCTTCCCCGAGTGTAACTCACTCGGCGCGGGTCTCAATGGCATCCCATACTTCCAATAAACTCTCTAACAGATCTATGCGACTATAGCTATCTCTATGTTTGCAGGCGCTACCCACATTCGCCGTGAACCGGTCACCTTCGCGGACATCCGACCCTCCCCGAGTATAGATCACTCGGCGCAGGTCTCAAACACCGCCCTTGGTCCCAAAATCATCTCATTCCTCTTCTACGACCCCATTGCCACCCCGTGCTCGCCGGCGCTGCCTACTTTGACCTCAGACCGTTGACCTTCGCGGTCATCCGACTCTGACCCTACCCGAGCGTAAATCACTCGGCGCGGGTCTCAACCGGTTGTCCAGCTTTGAAACATACCCTCTTTCTTGACCTAGCGCACGAGAGATTGCTCCAGGTATTTTTTTTTTTCCTGACCGGATTTTCGCCCTTTTTGACTATACTCCGTCACAGCTCTATTGACTTGGATCAGCGCGGCTCACGGCTCCCGCGGATGGTGTCCAACACCCATCTTGTAGGTCATCTAAAGCTCTTCCTCCTCGCAAACCCAGCTGATCGTCGTATAGGTCACTTTGTCCTAATTTCCGGCATTTCATCAAGTCCGCGCCGCGCGGCAGTAAATTAATGATCAACTCCTACCACGGCTGAAGCGCTCTGTGCTCGCCAACGCTACCCACATTCGGTGACCCTCCCGGATATTGGACCCTCCCCGAGTGTAACTCACTCGGCGCCGGTCCCAATCGCCGCCTTGGGCCCCAAATCCATCTCACTACTAGCCCATTGCTACCGCCTACGCTGCCTACTTGGACTTCAGACCGGCGACCTTCGCGGTCATCCCAATCTGACCGCGTAAATCACTCGGCGTGGATCTCAGCCAAGTGCCGAGTCTTGAAATCCACTACATTACGGTCCTTCTTGTCTCAGCGTACGAGAGATGGCCCCAGGTAACTTATTTTTTCATGACCGGATTGGCACCTCTTTTGACTTCGCAGCTCCACCGACTCTAATCAGCGCCGCTCACGGCTCTCGCGGGTGGTGTCCGACACCCATCTTGTGCTTTTGGTCAGTCATCTGAAGCCGTACCCCTTGCAAACCAAGCTGATCGTCGGATAGGCGACTTTGTCGCAATTTCCGCTATTTTACCAAGTCCGCGCCGCACGGTTGTCAATTGGGGACGGATTCTTTTTAAACAAACCTGCAGTACACTGTGCTTGCCCCCACATTGTCCGCGAATTGGTATAGCGAGAGTGGATGGTGTCGGCGTCGACGAAACCCAACTTTGGGGTTAAGTTCCCAATCGGGAAGTCGCTTCGGTGTACGAGTGAGCACGCACAAATCCCCTGCGGCTGCTCCAGCGCGCCAGTCACCTGTGCCAAAAGCGCCTCCCGCTCCTGCCTTGAAAGCGATGATAGACTCCCTAGAGTACTTTGCGCTCCTCCTGTTGCAAGAGTCATAGTGTGCATGGGCGTCCATACCAGGACATATCCTGGAATCCCCCACGCTCAAATCTAAAGACGATTGAGAGTGATTTGCGCGCCGCTCCGTTTCGGCAAAAAAGAAGCGAAACCTTCATCGGCCAGTACCCCGACTGGGATTCGAACCCAGGACCTCCATCGGTAAACACTCTGATCCGAAAGATATCGATGGCGTCGTACCAACTTGACTACCGGGGTTTTTATATAAAGGCACAGTCGCTTATATGTTATATACTAAGTTCGACCAGCGATCGAGGTAAAAATGCTCTCGCTGTACGCCTCGCCCAAGTCCAAAAGGAAAGACAATAATGCCTACTCGTCTTCCATTACGCGCCACATAGTTTCGCCGGCCATTTGCTCTCATCGAGTCAGGGCATTGAGATATGTGTAATTTACGTGCTCCGCCTTGGTCTATCTCTGCCAATTCTGCCTCGAGACTTTTTGGGCTCAATCTACTCGCAAGGATTGCAGAAAAGTGTTCATGGTGGTAGGGAGAGAAGAGGGAGCCGTCCGGTGATCCGGCATGGATCGCTGTACGTTATCGCCGTCGATCCCTGCACCATCTAGACTTCGAAAAAATACCTTTATTGCAGAAGAGAGAAAGGGGATAACTTGCGAGGTTCAGAGTTGAATTAAGCTTCAGACTTCTGGAAGATTGAGAAGCGATTGGGGAAGTTACTTAAAGAGATCGCCCTGAAGATGATATATAATTATATATTAATTATAATGCAACCAGATGACTTCAAGACAGGCTTTTCCAAGGCGCGCGCTGTAAGTCCGATGTTAGGGACTGCTTTGGTCGGACTGTTACTAAAGAAGCAAAGCGCCAGATTCTCCTGGATCTATTTTCTCTTCTTCTAGAATGATTAACGTTGATGCACAAAATCGGAAAATTCAGCCTCAAAACCTTCGGGATATATGTAATCGTGCGTCAACCACCGTCGACCGACCAATTCGGATGTCACTAACATATTGCAGCCCTTTATCGAGATCTGTAAGCCATCTGTAATTACCCCACCGAAAGCTCAACAACCTCATTAAATTCACAGTGGCGGGAATCACCCAGGTTGCTTGGACGTGCGTCGTTCTGCATTCTTTTCCGACTGTCGCCTACACATTATTTCAGTTATGTGCATTTCTGACATCCTTTCCAAGTTCCTGGTGCTGCCCGACACGTTTTGGTTCTTCCTCGGCCTGGCCCCAAGCACCAAACGTAAGTAATATGTCGCATCCTCGTATTCACATTCTCACATCCCTCAGTTTACATGAACAGTATGCTAGCCACGTATGACGCCATTTTATTTCGTGAAAAAAAATATCCAACTTTGTTGCAGGCTCAACGCATGCCAGCGCATCCGGAACAAGATCGACGCCGGGGACAAAGGCTGGAACTCGATAGGAAATTCTATCCACCCTCCAAATCGGGAATAAAAACGCCAGCGGCCAAAGCCAAAGCATCCCATCCATCGCTGCGGTTGATCTCGAAACGGGCTCCAGGCGGTGGACGTCACCCAACTGCACACGCAGCGCGACGCGGACGCGCTCAGACATCGATGCATAGCCTGCTCTGAAGTTGACCAGGCGGTCGGTCATGTCGTGGTGGTATGTAAAGGTGCAAAATGGGACTTGTCGTTTCAGAAAAGCCCTGATCTTATCTCCTATCTTATCCTCAGGGTCACGTGCCTGCGTGTAGGTCTCGACACATCACGCCATTTTATCCTTTTCAATTTCGCCGGCTTTTCAAGTACAAGTTAAGACAGGTATGTAAAGGGAAGGAGGGAGGATTGGAGGCGACTTGCGTTGCTTTGCAGAGAGTAGAGGGGCCCTCCTCTACTCTCTCCAAAGCAGCGCAAGTCGTTTCCAATGGAATGGGAATGGAAAGGGAAAGAAAGGGAAAGGAGAGGGAGGGGGGAAGGAAGGGGGCAGGGCTGTAATCTATGGATCCACGTCGGTAGTCCTGAAAATAAGTGCCTATGCGCCGTTGGAGGCTTGTCGACTGCTGTGAATACAGAGCGACGTACATGGATTGAGCGAGGCGGCCGACGCCCGACGTGGCATAGTCCCGGGTGTGGGTCATAAGGCTACATCCGGGAGTCAATGAAAAAGCCAGGCGGCGGCAGGGATGGGCGTACACACCTGGGTTGCCGCTTCTGCTCATGAGTTGGAGCCAAGGTTGCGTGCGCTGCGTGCGCTTGTTGCGAGGTGGTGAGAGCGAGTCGTCGCCGCATAGTGCGCTCACCGGATAACAAACACGGCCCAGTGGAGCTCAGCCTAGTCTTGCATTCTGCACCAGGGGGGTGAGAGCAGGCCGTGGTAGAAACGAGCACTCACCGCAAAAATCGCATACCGTCGCGGAGGTCGCCGTCGTTGTGTCGCTGCGGCAAGACTGAGGATGAGATAATGTGGCGGCGAGAACGTACCGGATCAGCATGGGGCGGACAGTGCCCGGCATGCATGCGGGGACGGGGACGTGAGGGCGTGCCCTTGTTCTTACTAGGCACACACCGGCTTGCAAACAGACCCAGTGTAGATGAAATCTTTGAGGAAGAGGTTAGCAGTGCGGTCCGCGGGGGATAGGAGCATGACGAAGGGGCAAACAGGTCCATAGACATCGTAGCAGGTTTGGGGGGTGAATCCGACCCTGGAGTCAAAACCGGTGTCCCAAAAACCCATGTCGCCGCCGTTGACTGACGGCGAGCTCCCACGACTGCTTGACTGCTGACGTGGGCCTGGGCTACCGACTAAAGTATCCATTGGCAGGATACTACCCTAACCGACACTTGACTGTGCAGGAAGGGGCCGGCCCTCCACGCTTGACCCGACCGCGTCGCACTAAGGCACCGTGCTAAGCGGCCTGAACGTTCGGCGTGGGTGCATCACGCCGCGCGTTCAGGAGGTGAGGTTCGGGGTAGAGCTGGACGTCCCCACAAAGGGGAGCATCCTGGAGGGAAGACGGTGGTAAGAGGAAAGAGAGGGATTAAGGTCGTTAATCGCGCCACGTGGCTTTTATGATGCCGCGCCAAACAACGCGGTCATGGGAACAAACAACGCGCTATCACATGTCCAAGTCTCCGCACTAGTACTCATTTGGACACTGTCCGCCGGCTTGTACTTAAACGTGCCTGAGTCTTGAGAACTAACATTCAGTTGGAAATCGGTCAGCACAAGAGTAGCATACCTTTCTCAAGGACTCCTACTCGAGTGTAAGGCAATTTTTGCGGAGGGAATACGACCCTTTTTCACGAGGACGACAAGAAGGCATATATTTTGTACTATAGCGTGCTATACAAGTAGATACTATTATTCTGTTTGTTTCGCAACTGTTACGTTACAGGACACGAATGTCCGAAAAGAAAGTAAGGATTCTAGAAAGTATGTTCTACTCGCTACAGCGTAGGTGGCGACGCGGCAGCCGGCTGTCCTCGGACCCAGCATCCCACCCATGCGCCCTCGGGACCCCGCTGATTGAACTGGTCTCTCCAGGCTCCCTTGAGCAGCCGGCAAGAGCTGTCACAGTAACGGCAGCCGTGAACTGGAGCAACTCCCAAACCTTGATTCGCCCGCATGTCGGGCATTGCGTGGGAGGGGTTTGACCGAAAGGCTTCCTGATCGGGTGGGTCCAGGAATATTCGTAGACGTGGGCGTGTGTCGCCCCGGCCTCCTTCGCGCCCTGGTAGAGGACGATGTCGGTGTGCTGGCCCAGTGCGCCGTGATTTGCGAGAAGATGAGAGAACTTCTGCGCGCCGGGATTAACGAACAGATACAGCACAGTCTCCTGCAGGAATGTCGCTCCGGTGCCGGGGAGGAACTTGGCGACGCCGAATCCGATGGCATTGGTGAATCCGGAGCTGTGAAGGAGAAGTTAGCCGGCGGCGATTAAGCATCCCCGACGCAGGGCGCTAACCTCTGCACGAACTCGCTGACCTCCTCATGCGCGTCCCCGGAGTGAAGGGCGCCGCAAGCCAGGAGAACCAGCAACGACGTCCTCGCACCCTTGATCACGCCCTGCATCTCCTCTGGAATGAGCCGGGGCAGAACCTCAGCGGCGTCGCTGGAGGAGGCCCCGCCGGGGGCGGTATGGATCAGGCCCGTGTCGGGCACCGTGTGCCCAGTAAAAATAACAAGGACCTTGGCGGGACGATACCTTGCGAAGCGCATGAGATTGAAGTACGTTTGATTGAGAAAATACGCACTCCAACAGTCTTGTGGTGGCGGCCTCGACGGCGTCATCGTACTGCTCGACCTCCTCGTCCAGGTTGTAGCCCAGGTCGATGAAGAGCAAAGGCTGCTGCGCGTAGAACGGGTGGAGACGGGTCAGAATCGCGCTGGCTGGGTCCGCGTCCAGACTCATCCCTGCGAGGCGAATGGAAATCACCGCGAGGGGAGGGCAGTCAATAACGGCCCACATCCCGCGCTGCTGCTGTTCGCCGCCGTACTTGATGAGCCCTAGTGGAACTCCATTCACGAATGGGCCCTTGAAACTTTCGTCAGAGGCAGCCGTGATTGAGTGTAGCCGTGATTGATTGTCGCCGATGAGCCGCTCACTTGGTAAGGGACTTCCCGAGAAGCCTGAATTTTTTTGCCACTTCCTCCAATCGGGATGAAACTCGGGATGATGGGGTTGGGCTTGCCGTCGCCGTTGCCCATCCAGCAGCGGGGACAATACCAGTTCATCTTCGTCGTGACGGCCACGGCAAACACAAGGCAGACGCCGCAGAAAGATCGCGGGCAGAGGGTGCACTGCAGAAGCTTGCCGCCTTCCTCGCAGCCTGGCAGCACCACTTTTGTTTTTTTTTGGCGAAAGATGATAAGTAGAAGGCGGGCAGGAGACCAGTCATTCAACGCTGGCTGCGGACCACTTATTTTGGGAAGAAATGGCCGGGTACGGTGCGGCACAGCTCACTTACCGAATTGACGCGGTCACCGCTGGCTTCAGTGGGCCCCCGCGATCCGATGCACGGCTGCATGCGCTCAGCTGCCTCCTCCTCATCCACGCGCTTCCTTTTTTTGCCGCCGCGCGCAGTCGGCTGTGGCGGCGTGGTGGTACCAGGGAGCGAGACGGCTGATTTTTTGTTGAGTTTGGGACCGAGGGGCTTGCGTGGGGCGGGACCACCGGTGGATTTTTGAGCAGTCTGCTTCGTGCGCACCATGGTCCAAGCGAAGATCGTGTTGGCAGGAAGCAAGAGCAAAATGGGCGC